TACACAATTGATTATAACCCATGTAAAAAATTCTTTAAATGCGGGAATTGACATCAAAGGCACTGGTTTTATTACTGCCTGTGGCTTTCCTACCATCTGACACATATGACAGGTATGGCAAAATTCAACCACATCTTTATGTAATCCCAGCCAATAAAATGCTTCTGTATCTTAGCCTGAGTCTTTCTCACTTCTAGATGACCTCTTACAGGTAATTTGTGTGCTAGTCACAATACTTCCTGTCTGTATTCTACTGGCAACACAATCTGCCCATTTCTCATCTGTACTAACCTGCCAAGGTCTCAATTTCCACCTTAAGATTTTATCCTTAAGCTAACAGAATTCTGGAATACACTCTGATTCCTTTTCTAAGTAGGCTTTGTGATATAAATCCTTTATCGTCTCATCTTTTTGTTGTAACTCTATTAATCTTTCAGAAGTAAACACCTCTGCCTGATCCTCTACCTGCTTAGGTTTTTCCTTTACCATTTCATCAAACAGAGTGTCAGCTAACTGGACCTCAACTCCTTCATCTTTCTCTTTTGTTTTCCCTTCTTGTTTTAACTTATGGCTGTGGGATCTTGTCACCACATAGTCTGGAAAAATACCAGGGTATTTTTCTTTTAACTCCTCAGTTCCCTGGTTTTCTTTTGTTTTTTCCCCACCTGTGATCCGGTGATATCATTTCCAACAATAAACTGTATTCCTGGAATAGCCAATTTTTCCATCAATCCCACGATCACTTCCCCCATCTTGATTAGACTTTCTAGCCTTATCTTACACAGGGGAACACTAGTCCTCTCTCCATTTATTCCACAGATTATCACGCTCTCAGGCAATATTTCAGAAGGAGTACAAATCTTTTCATCCCTTACTATTTGAGGCAGCCTATCTCCCGTATCTCTCAATATTTTAACTTCTTGACCTCCTCCCCCTGTTCTCCCTGAGTAAATCTTACCCATACAGGTGAAGTCTTTGAAAAGATCGGGCACTATCTTACTATCCAGCCCGTGAATAGGTTATGCGCTTTCCTGCAGCTCCTCAATTTCTCTTGAGATTTCCTTCACTACCTTAAATAATCCCACTGGTTTAGCCTCTTTTACCACATCATTATCCCAGTGCCTTTCTTAAACTACCAGCTCTGTGACTTTGTGTGCCCCACCTTATTGCAGTGAAAACACCTGACGTCTTTCACCTCTTTTCCACCCTCTTGCGTTTCTTTTTTCACATGTAGTAAACTGTTCCCAGTGTGATCTACTTTTTGTTTTTCATTGAAGGAGCTCCCTCTTTCCCAATTTCTATCCTTCATGGAATGAAATTGCTGTCGGAGCTAGATTTTGATTTATGCACTAATGCGTATTCATTTGCCATCTCTGTGGCTCTTCCTGCTGTTTTAACTTTCTGTTCCTCAACATGCATTTTTATCACTGCTGAAAGCAAGTTTTTAAAAGTCCTTCAGCAGAATAATATCTCTAACAGCTTCGTATTTATTTTCTATCTTTAATGCTCTCCTCCATCTATCAAAGTGGCTCTGCTTAATTTTTTCAAACTCGATATAAGTCTAACCGGATTCCTTTCTTACATTTCTGAACTATTGTCTAAATGCTTTTCATACCAATTCGTAGGATCTCAAAATAGCCTATGTGACTTCTTCATATTCTCCTGACGCCTCTTCTGACAGTGCCGCAAACAACTCATTAGCCTTACCTACCAACTTGGTTTGAATTAATGTTGCCCACACAATCTCTAGCCAGTTCATCTGTTTGACCAATTTCTCAAAGGAAATGGAAAAGGCTCCTACATCTTTTTCATTGAATTTTGGTAATGTTTTGATATATTGGTATATATTCCTACCAGACTTTTGGCTGCGATGGGTTTGCTCATCATTGCTATCCTCCTCACTAAGCCTAACTTCTACCTTCATCTCCATCCTTTTAAGTTGACTTTCCTGTCTAATTGCCAACATCTGAAATTCAAACTCTTTCTCTTTTTCCCTTTCTTCTGCCAGAGCAATTCTTTCCTTTTCTTTTTGGTTCAGCTTTCTTTGTCCTCAAACTCCAGTTGGCTCATTTGCAATTTAGTTTTTTCTAACACCACCGCACTTGACTGTTTCTCTGCTATACCTAAATGCTTGACTAATTCCGTTACTATTTCAGCTTTCTTATTGTCCCTGGTTAAACACAATTTTAGCCTGTCTGCTAATTCTAAGTGTCACCTTTTTCTGTCTTTCTAAATTTTTTAGCAAATTTGGAAAGCATCTTCGACCCTCAGCACCTGTTTAGCAATGTTAAGAGCTGTTTCCCCACTTTTGGTTTAACCAACAACAAGTAAGAGTAATTAAACATGTTTTCCACTTCTCACTTAAGTTTTATTTAAAGATCTAGGACACTAGTCCCCAAGTCTGTTTATATCTGCTGGAACCTTTCATACCACAAATCTGTTCAAATCTGTCCAAATCCCGAATGACGAGCCCCCAGTCTGTTATAAAGCAGACATTGACCCCCCCCACCCCCGAAAACTAAAACTGAAACACCCAAAGAGGAGCACCTTGCCCTATAATCTGTTAAAAAAAGTGTGAAAAGTGGTGTAACCTGCCTTTCAGCAACCTCTAGTGGATAAATAAATTAAATCCTTGACACTCACTTTACAATCAACAAGTAATAATATATTTATCTAGTTCCCAAATAAAGCAAGATTCTGATGGTATGCTGTTCCAATAAATACAAGTCCCACATATAAAAAAAGAATTTAATCTCTTGAAATTACAGACAATTTATGTGTCTTCTGGAACGTTCTATGCCTTCTCTGTCGATTCTTCTGACAAGAATATTAACTATTTGTGTTGTTGGTCCCATTGTTATTTAGATGGTATATCCTCTAAGACACAGAGGAGGCTGTGAGAACCAATAATTCTCTCTTGAGAGCTGAGGGCTGTTAGATCTGGCAGATGGTAGTTAGCTCTAGAGCTTTGTCCAACTGCCCCCTTCTTTTCATACCCTTGATAACATATCAATACTTCTTACAATAGAATTGGTCCTATGTTGTCAAAACCATCAGATTTAAATGTAATTGGTTTTTGGTATCTAAGTGCTTGGTTCAAATTGATTGGCTAAATTCAAAAGCTTGTTGTCTCGTTAAAAACTGCTGCTTGGCCTGCTGACACAAATGTTTCAATTCCTGTGCTTTCTGTGTACTTGCAAACTTTCAAGCTGCTGCTCACAGACCTCCATTTTAAATCTCTAAGCATAGAAAAAGCACAGGTATCTTTTAAAGGGACTACAAAATGCTTTCCCCTCTAGCATTTTACAAACACCAAATTCTAACTTCCTGCCTCCAAAACCACAAGTATTCTATCCAACTTCACAACAGAAGTGAAAGACCAGCAGCAACCAACATTCCCAGTTAAGCAGGTGGTAATGGAGAGCTGATGGCCTCAAATGGGCCAGCAGCTCTTTGGGTTGAGAGTTCTACCATAGTGGGATAAGACCTAGAAGTAGGTATCCCCATGGAACTGAGACTCCAGAGTAGTATTTCCATTGCCAAATAAAGACTCTTAGGGCTCCTAGAGATCATTTGATGAAGGCATTACTAATGTGTACAGAGAACAGTGTGGAGCTGGAGGATCACAGCAGGCCAGGTGGCAGAGGAGCAGGAAAGTTGATGTTTTGTGTCAGGACCCTTCCAAAACATCAACTTTACTGCTCCCCTGATGCTGCCTGGCCTGCTGTGTTCTTCCAGCTCAACATTGTGCTGTCTCTGACTCTAGCATCTGCAGTTCTTGCTATCCGTGCTACTATTATGTAAGTGGCCACTGGGACTCCCACAACACTCATTACATTCAGTTCACTGAGATTCTGGTCTTGTGTTTCACATATTAACTAGGAATATAAACCACAGCTGTATGAATATATCTTTCCAGTTCTCTTGTCTGACAGCACTTAAACAATAAATAACGAAAAAAAAAGGAAAACCAATGTGCTAAGAAAGCATCTTGAACTAGATTACCAGGGTTTGAGAGCTTTATACAACACCAAAGATGTTGGGATGGTAACCACTTGGCTCCCAAATTGTTACAAATATGAATGTCACTTATGGAAAGGTAGATAGTTAGCAGGCGTCAGGGTGACAATGTTAGAAACAAGTTTTAAAGCCAATAGGTAAGGAATGGCATCTCAGGTGACCACATTGTCTAACATGCCAAATTTTTATATCCATAATTTGGGAGTGAAACTTGACATTGGCAGAGGTGGGAGCAGAGCAACTGCTGGTTACATGCTTCATCCAATTTTGCATTCAAAAAGTAAAATTTGGTTCTCAGTGCATCTTAAAGTATACAGTCCTCCAATAGAAAAGGTATAAACATTTGGGAACAGAAAAGAATTACAGCAAGATTGACCTAATTTCCCAATGATGCCATTACATTCAGTCGTAACCTTTTCCTTCCTACTTTGCAATCAATTACCCTGTCAATCTAATTATATTTGGTGCTCCATTGACCAACATCATTTCTTTGTCCTTTAAACTATTTATTTTGTTTGATGTCTCTTCTAAGTATCTCATTCTTCAATTTTCATGCAGATTTATATTTGGTCCCTTCAATGCAGTGAGAACTTTGCCTGAATTTTTTTAAAATTATTTACCCCATTGATTTTTGAGCTTAACCTATTCCATTATGTGTAACTCTAGTATATCTAGTACAAAATATAAACGTTTAAATGGTTTAAAAAAAACTGATATAGTTAAAATACTGAAGATTCTGTATTGGTTTGACTGATGGGTTATCTGGGATTACCCACAGGAGAAGAAAGTTCCACAGTCAGTATATTGGCAAAATAAACTGATTTGTAAAATAGCTATATAGTCTAAATATGCAAAATTATTAAAAATACAATCTGGTAATTGCCATATGAAATGAAATTTTAAAATGTACTTTTCAGTAATATTAAACCACACATTTTTACACAGCACAAAAAAATCTTGAAAAGTTTCTTTTTACTTACTTGTTATCACATTAATTTCTGTACCACACCGAGAATCTGAATGGGTCTGCAATGACGAATTGCAGTAGTAAATCCCAGAATGAATTTTTGATGCATTCCTGATGAAAAGCCAAGAAAGTGTGCCGCCATTTCCGGTTGTTACTCCCGCTATCTCGCGCGCTTCAATGGGCTCTTCATCAAATTTATACCACTTGACATCAAACTTTTGCGTTTGTGCAGGAGGTGCAAAGACACAAGTTAGTTTTACCTTCTTTCCGAGCTTAACAGCTCGATACGGTACGGAGTAATTAAAGGCAAGCCCCTGACATAATGCACCTGCAATTAAAACAGACATACTGTAGACATATGTATTATAAATAGTAAATTTTCTTTTACAAGGAGTGGTAAGCAGGGATACCATTGCATAGAAATCAGTAATAACATAGCACCTCGCGGAACTCTGTTGTTTAACTATTCGACACTGGATCAGAAGTATACCGTTTACTCTATCAAGCCTGTTCTGGTACTTAATAAGATAATGGCTTATCGCATAACTCTTAACTCCAACATCCTGCATTATGCCCAAAACCCTTCATTCCTTTACTGATTAAAAGCCTGCTGATCTCAACGTAAATTTTGCAGTTCTTTTATCTTTAAAATTTTTGATTGTGGCTTAAAATGGAAAAAGGAGTGTTTTGAACTCAGGACTATGGAGGATTTGCTGCCCTTTAAAAAGAATAAGTTGTCGGAACTCACTGTGAGATAACACTGTGTGAAGCTGGACGAACACAGCAAGCAATCAGAGGCACAAGGGCTCCAGACTGGAAGAGACTGGATCTCTCCCTCTGTGTTTCTCAAGGCTTTATTTCCTCCAGTGATGCTGTTTTGTCTGTCTATATGTGTGTAGGGATTTTAAAGGGGGGAGTTAGAGTTTTAACAGTTGAGTTATATGTTAGAACATAGAACAGCACAACACAGGAACAAACTTTTTGGCCCACCTCACCTGTGTTGACCATGATGCCATTCTCAACTAATCCCATCTGCCTGCACATGGTTCGTGTCATTCTATTCCTGCCTGTTCATGTGTCCATCTAAATACCTCTTAAACTTTGCTATCATATCTGCTTTCACCACTTCGCCTGGCAGTGCGTTCTAAGCACTTACCACCCTTTGTGTAAAAAGTTTGCCTCGCACATCTCCCTTAAACTTTCCCCCCTCACCTTAAACCTATTTGACATTTCCACCTTGGGAAAGAGACTCTGACTATCCATCCCATCTGTGCTTCTCATAATTCTATATTCTTCTTTCAGGTTGCCCCTCAGCCTTCAATGTTCTAGTGAAAACAACTCAAGTTTGTCCAACCTGTCCTTATTGCTAATATACTCCAAGCTGGCCAACATCCTGATAAACTTCTTCTGCATCCTCTCCAAAGCCTCCACATCCTTTCTTTAGTGCAGAGACCAGAACTGCACAGAGTACTCCAAATATGGCCTGACCAACGTCTTTTACACTTGCAACATGACTTGCCAACTTTTATAGTCAAAGCCCCAGCGGATGAAGGCAAGCATGCTATATATCTTCTTTGCTACTTATCCACTTATGTTGCTACTTTTAGAGAGCTATGGACTTGGACCTCAAGATTTCTCTGTATATCAACTTCCCTAAGGGTCCACCCATTTACTGTATACTTTCCTCTTGCATTTGACCTCCCAAAATGCATCACCTCACACTTCCCTGGATTAAACTCCATCTGCCATTTCTGTGCACAACTTTCCAGCTGATCTAAATCCTGCTGCATCTTTTGATATCCTTCCTCACTATCCACAAATCCTCTAATTTTCATGTCATCTCCAACTTTACTAATCAGACCACCAACATTTGCATCCAAATTATATATATACCTATATATATATTACAAGCAACAAAGGTCCCAGCACTGATCCTTATGGAATACTATTATTCATAGACTTCCTGTCAGAAAAACACCCCTCCACAACTACCCATTGTCTTCGACGACCAAGCTAATTTTGAATCCAACTTGCCAACTCACCATGGATTCCATACGATTTGATCTTTTTGACCAGCCTATCATGAGAGACCTTGCCAAATGCTTTTCTAAAGCCCATGTAGGTAACATCCAATGTCTTACCCTCATTAATCATCTTCATCACTTCCTTAAAGAACTCAAATCAGATTTGAGAGACAAGACCTTCCCCGTATAAAGCCATGCTGACTATCTCTATAAGTTTATTCTTTTCCAAATGCAAGTAAATCCTGTCCTTAAGAATTTTCTTGAATAATTTCTCTACCACTGATGAAAGACTCACTGACCTATAATTTCCTGGATTATCCCTGTTGGCCTTCTTGATCAAAGGAACAACACTGGCCATTCTCCAGTATTCTGGGACCTCAAGTGTAGCTAAAGAAGATACAAAGATCTCTGTCAAGGCCCCAGCAATCTCCTCCCTTGCTTCCCGCATTATCCTGAGATAGATCCCATCAGGACCTATCAACTAGCTCCTCTCTAAACTTACCTCCATCCGTGCCTTTCTCCTCCGCGAATACCAATGTGAAATAATACCAATGTGAAATAATACCAATGTGAAATACTCATTAAGGATCTTACCTACTTCCTCTGGCTCCACATATAAATTCTATCCTTTGTGCACCTACCCTTTCCTTAGTTATCCTCTTGTTCCTAATATAGCTATAAAATGCCTGGGGATTCTCCTTAATCCTACCTTCCAAGGACAGTTCTTGACACCTTCTAGCCCTCCTAATTTCATTTTTAAATTCTTTATGTTGTTAATTCTTAGTTGTTTACTTGTGGTTAGAATTTATTTAGTCGTAATAAATAATAGTTCTTGTTAAGTACAGAAATCAGGTCAGTATTTTCTGTTAAGATGAGTCTATCATACAGGTAAATTTGGGACTTTAAGTACTTCGATTAGGCCTTTAGCTTTTGTGGCAACCTTGGGAATGGTGTGGATGTAATATCGGCTCACTTTCCCAAGTGGGATGTGACACAGTTTTGAATATTCACACAAACCCAGTCTCAACAGCCCTCTGTGGTAAACACTGCCACAGATTCACTACTCTCTGAAGAAGCACTTCTTCCTCATCGCTGTCTAAATGGATGACTTCTCACTCCAAAATTTTTCTTTAGTCTTAGAGTCTCCCACAAGGAGAAACAATGCCTCCGCGTCTGTCTTATCAAGTTCAATAAGAATTTGAAATGTTTCATTAAGACCGCTCTTCTGAACTCCAATGAGAACAAGTCCAACCTACTTAATCTCTCATCACAAGCAAGTCCATGCATACTTGAAATCAACCTTGTGAACTTTCTCTGGATTGTCTTCAATGCCAGCATATTCTTTCCTTGGATAACAGGAACAGTGGTTGAGATTATTAGTGCTGTCAGGAGATTTGATCGCAGGTAGATACACTTGATTATGTTCTTACTCATTATGGCCAGGTACACACTTACCAACAAGATGACAAAGATTGCAGTCAGGTTTGCTCTCTACTGCCAATATATATTACAGTGGCCAAATGTAGCACTTCAACTATTAACCCAGTCTCACTTGGTTAACTTGGATCACAAATCAAATGTACTATTTTCCAATCAATATATATTTAGCACTTTACAGGGAGGTAGAAACATAAAAACAAGGCCATTTGACCCCTTGAGCCCACTCTGACGTTCAATATGATCATGCTTGACTTTTTATCTCAACACCATATTCCATCTTGCTCCTCTTGATGCCTTGGAAGACTAAAATTAACAATTTCTTCCTTGAATATATTCAGTGACATGGCCTCCATAGCCTTCTGTGGTAGAGAATTCCACAAGTTTACTACCCTTTGAGTGAAGAAAATTTTCTTCATCTCAGTCCTAAATGAGAGATCTCTGGTTCTAGTCTGCACTTCACAAATGGATAGTCAGAGCTGCAGATGCTGGAGTCAGAGATAATTTAGTGTTGAACTGGAGGAACACAGCAGACCAGGCAGCATCAGAGGAACAGGAAAGTTGATGTTTCAGGTCAGGACCCTTCTTGACCTGCTGTGTTCCTTCAACTCCACACTGTGTTATCCCCTTCACAAATAACATTTTTATGAATTAAAATAATAGTGAAATTTGGCATTGTTGCTGTGTGCTCAGAACCATTCACCAAACAATTGGAATCAAATTGTACTTTCTAAATTACGAGGTATCTTGATAAAATAGGTCTAAGCTTTCCTGCCTTTTTACAGCACATGTTGTTTCATACAGTAATTGCTCCCATGTTATAAATGGGCTGAGAAATAAATCTCTAAAACTCCTCCTCAAGGCTTTATCAATGCTAAGCTGAGATTGTCCACCAGGAAGTAAGAAACTGGCCTACTTTATTCCAAATTTGAAAGAAAATGTCCAGGACCTGGATTTCCATCACTTGCATAAGGTGACAAGATGTCTGCTTCTGTCACCTATTCATTGGGAAACTGGATTTGCCAGCAGCAATGGTCTTAGCTGGCCCCTAGATGGGCTTACCAGAGCTGAGGATGGGGGGAATCAATGTGCTGATTTCAGAGTGAGTAGGTTAAGGAGGCTAACTTTCGTCCTCAGAAACATCAACCCATTTGTTCCAAGGGGTCACGAGCTTCGAGAGAGCAGTAGTGGTCTTGAGCTTGGGCTGATTTTTGACATGTATGAGGCTCATTTCAATGCTCTTTTCTTTTCTGTTGTCAGATGTTGTGTAATTGTCTGCTCTTCAAGGTCTGTTTGTGCTCAAACTAGAGTCAGGAAAGGCCGTGTTTCATTGGGATGCCACCACTAAGGGGTGCGAGGAGCGCACAAGCGCAGAAACATCGCAGTGCTACGTATTGGCTAAGTGACAGACACAACTGCCTTCTAAGTGGAAGGATAGCCTATTGAGCTAGCTCTCGGGTGTCCAGTGAAATGCGGACGGGTTGGAGAAGTGAATTCAGTGCTGTCAGAGCTTCCCCTCAAGTCCAAATTCTGCATGGAACTGTTACCTCTCCCTCTGCACAGTGAAGAGCTGTCTTACTATCAGGTAGTACCCGGCCAGCATGAGCTTTATGGCCTAAGTCTTCACTTCTGTCATCAATTCAGGCCTCTGTGCTCATTCCCAGATTCTCAGTTCTTGATGCCCCCAGCTATGCAGAACTTCAGTGTCAGTTGCGCAAGGACATTCGGTGAAGTTATTACTCATGAGCTTGGGCTGATTTTTGACATGTGTGAGGCTCATTTCAATGCTCTTTTCTGTTTTCAGATGTTGTGTAATTGTCTGCTGTTCAAGGTCTGTTTGTGCTCAAACTAGAGTCAGGAAAGGCCGCGTTTCATTGGGATGCCACAGCACACATGCCAAGATTTATTCCGCCTTAGGGGTTTACTACCCATAACTGATGTCACTGGGTCTGTTTGCTCAAGTGTAGGAGACCATGTTGGTGGTCGTCTTTGCAGTTATGCCGATTACTCCATTTTAGTAACTATTCCACATTTATAGCATTAATCCTTTACTTGACAGCTTGCCAGTTGGCAGAAGTAACAATTTGGCACAAATATTGTTTAATGGCCAGGTATACCTTTCAATTACAATATTGCATGACTCATCTTGATGAATACAACTCATGCTACATTATTTTATGATGAAGTGTCAAGGGAGCAGAAACTATTTTACTTACGCTTAAAATTCTTCTTGCCTCCAATCTGTGCATGATGCCTTCATGTGTAAAATGACAAATGAAATTGGGCCACCACCTTGATAATTAAACAAACTTAAGTCATGGGCTGTTTATTAGCCCACAATGATGTTAAGTGTCTTGTTAATAGGTGCAAGGCTGCTTTCCTCTCATTGTTTCTCCTGAACTGCATAAAATGGTGCCAGATGGAAACAAAGGTAGGATTTCTGGCCGAGCCACTCAGTAGTTATTTTTGTGTTGTTTCACCTGTGCTTGGTTGTGTTTCAGAACTACAAAATCCAAATCCTCATTTCCACTTTACAACGAAACCCAGTCCTAAACCCATCCTTGATGCTAGAGCTAAGCTTGGGAGCTTACTGTAGGGGAGCTGTTTATTTCAAATCTATAACCTGTCACTCTGCAGGTAATATGCTGACCCACCTTTACTATACCAATACATATTTGCTCTGATATGCAGAAGGTGGACTTTAATGAGAACGAGAAAAATAAAGGATTAATTATTGTCTTCTGATTCCCGCAAATCTTTGATAAAAATGCCTGCATTGCACCCTTCGGTTACATCATGTTGCAATGCTGTAAGCGACCTAAAAGTTGAGAAGAGAAAGAAAATAGCTTTAGGATGCAGCACAGGAAAGAATTGAATGTTATTCAAAAGAAAAGGTTTGATTGAATTGAATTTCTGCAGTGAAATTCTACATTCATACAAACTATGTCCTATATCATAGTTTATCTTGCAATGTGTTTTTCATGGCTCAAAGAATAGAACTTTGGACAGTGTTCCGATGAGAGCAGAGGTTCACTGGTATACTAAGGTTGAGATTCGCCATGGAAATGATTCAATGGGGAACATGTAGTAAAGCCAAGGGGAGCAGATTTTTTTCATGGTAAGTGGATGGCCAGACAGCATTTACTGCCAATCCTCCAGTTAAGAATCAACCACATTACTGTGGGTCTACAGCTACATTTGATCAGATCAGGTAAGGATAGCAGGTTTTCTTCCATAATGGGTATTAGCGAACCAGATGCGATTTTATGACAATAGTTACATAATTGTCATTAGGCTAGCTTTTTATTCCAGTTTTTTAAAATATGTATATCAATTTCAAATTTCATTATCTGCTTTAATGGTATTTGAGCCCATGACCTGCAGAATACTAACTTAGGGTTCTGGATTATTAATCTAGTAAAATTGCCACCTCACCATGTTTCTAATCAACTTATGCAGAGGTATTGTTATACATCTCTGGAGCAAGTGGGACTTGAACCTGAGTCTCCTGCCTCAGAGGTAGGGACACTAAAACTGCACCACAATAGCTTCCATCACCTCACTGTGTAATTTAAAACAAAAATTGTTGTAAGATGTCACAGCATATCCCCAGAACAGGTGGGACTTGAACTTAGGTCTCCTGGCCCAGAGATAGGAACACTTCCACTACACCACAAGAACCCCAGTAATATTTTCCTAATCAACCTGCATCAAAGATGTTATTGCATACTGCTGGAACAGGATGGGAATTGAACCCAGGCTTGCTGGTCTCAGAGGTAGAGACATTCCACTGCACCATGAGGACCCTTGCCTCATCAGTTAGATGTTTTTTAATCATCCTACACAGATATGCTATGTCACACCCCTGCAATAGGTAGGATTTGAACCCAGACGTCCCAGTCCAAGGGTAGGGACACTGCCACTGTGCCACAAGAGACCCACCTTTGCCTCATTATGTACATAATTCAGCATTTTTATTTATTAACCTATTTTTCTAAATAACCTGTTCAGAGATGCAATTATACACCTCTGGACGAGGTGTGACTTGAACCCAGGGCTCCTAGTCCAGGGGTAGGGACTGTGCCAAAAGAGGGGCCACTTGGCCTCACCATGGATGTTTATATTTGTAATCACCCTGTTCAGAGACATTATTACACACCTCTGAAACAGGTGGCACTTGAACCCAGGTCTCTAGGTGCAGGGGTAGGGATACTGTACCACAAGAGGGCCCAAGTCTGCTTTAAAATCTATTTTTGCAATTGATCTGGTCAGAGCTGTTAATACACACTGCTGGAGTACATGGGACTTGAACCCAGGCCTCCTAGTGAAGAGGTAGGGACACTACCTTTGCGCTACAAGAGGGCTCTTTGCTGCAACATGGAATTGATGTTACATTATAGAGGCCAGCTGTTAACAATGTATGCTGTGAATTGTTTTTGCTCCCAGCTTGTTGGGTTGTGAGATAATAATTCTCACAGGAACTGATAGTGACATTTTGTTTCTGATCTGCTCCACAGAAAGAAATGATTGTTTGGAAAGGAAGTTAACCTCCTAATTGATTTCAGCAAGGCACCTAAATTTCATACATAAAACAACATTCCTCTTGCATTAGTAAGCCCTCATCCTTTCTATGGCTATCCTTTAAGGCCATTCAGATCTGCAACGGGATTCATTTGGAGCTTAAGGTAAAATCCGAAACTTAATGCCACCTTCTGGGCATCTCTGTACAGTGACTGCATGCACATTAGGAAGTGATTTGGCACTGCCTCCTTTATTTTGCCTTTTCTAGTCGCCAGAGACAGTAGTCTAGCATCTTAGCGGCAGAGCAAATTATGTCCCAGAAGCCAAATGAACTTGAGTTATAAGTCAGAATGTGGAAGATTTTTAAAGTTTGTGGTGTATTCAGATATCTACCACATTTGCTTCCTCTTTCTGTGCAAATGGACAGGAATCACTGTTTATTGAGCTGTGGCAAAATTAAAACAACAAATAGTATCTCTTGCAACACAGATCAAAAAGCTGCAGGGAAGAAATTACCGTTTCTAGCAATATCAACTATGCAAAGCAGCATTTGCATCGTTTTGCAGCCTCATCCTGACTGCTATAATTGTAACTTCCTCTCTTTGAAACGCTTCACATGACATTGTTCTGACAGAAGAGTAATAACCAATGTTAACAGATAGGTATAGGCTTTCTACAATAAAAATAAATTAGAACAAAAAAATTAGAACTAAGGAATTTGGAAGGTGCCGTCCATGAAATCTTGGCAAGTTGCTGCAGTGCATCTTGTAATGGTACATACTGTAACCACTCTGTGCCAGTAATGGAGGGAGTGAATGTTTAAATTGTTAGGTGGGATGCCAGTCAAGTGGGTTGCTATGTCCTAGAGGGTTACAGGCATCTTGAATGTTGTTGGAGATTCAATCTTCGAGGAAATTGGTGAGCATTCCATCACACTCCTGACTTCTGCCTTGTAGTTGGTGAACAGACCTTTAAGGTTCAGGAAGTGACTCAGTCACCACACAATTCCCAGTCTCAAATATCCTCTTTAAGCCACAATATTTGTTTTAGATCAATCATATTAACTCCCCCATCCCCACCTCAGATGTTGATGATAGCTGAATCAGCAATGGCAATGCTATTGAATGACAAGAGAGGTGGCTAAATTCTAGCCTATTGGTTACAGTCATTGCTTGAATTTAACTAACTAATCTATACCAAATGGTATATGTAATGGTGAGAGATATGCTGCACCATGACATTATAGAATGTGGCGGAATACAAGTCTACTACTTGCCTCTCATCAGCACAACCCTCCATGTTTTTCAGGTCTTGCGGCATGCTAATATTAACAACCCTATTATCTGAGGAGTTGTGAATGGCACTGAACACTATGCAATTATCAGCAAACATCCTCACTTCTGACCTGAAGAAAGATCATTCACAAAGCAGCTAAAGATGGCTTGTAACGTGGTCCTGAGATGGCTCAGTTGTTCGCACTGCTGCCTTACAGCACCAAGGGACCTGGGTTCAATTCCAGCCTTGGGCCACCATCTGTGTGGAGTTTGCACATTCTCCCCGTGTCTGTGTGGGTTTCCTCTGGGTGGTCTGGTTTCCTCCCACAGTCCAAAGATGTGCAGGTTAGGTGGATTGACCAGGCTAAATTGCCCATAGTGACCAGGATGTGTAAGTAAGGTGGATGCGTAGCCATGGGAAATGCAGGGTTACAGTGATTGGGTGGGGGGTGGTCTGAGTGGGATGTTCTTCAGAGCGTTGGTGTGGGGGTGGCATGGTGGCTTAATGGTCAGCACTGCTGCCTCACGGTGCCAGGGATCTGGATTCAATTCCACCCTCAGGCAACTACCTGTGTGCAGGCAGAGAGTCAGTGTGGACTTGTTGGGCCGAATAGCCTGTTTCCACTCTATAGGGACTCCATAGATATGTAGAACTCCAATAACAATCTGCTGGGGATGAAATGATTGCCCCAACCCTAAACATCCCAACTATCTTCCTTAGTATGACATATGACTCCAGCCCCTGAAAAGATTTTCCCTCAGCCCTCATGAATTCAATTTTACGGCGGTTCTAGATGCTTCACATGGTCAAACATTACCTCAATGTCAAAGGTAGTCATTCTCACCTCTCTTCTTTTGCTCGTATTTGGACCAAGGCTGGACTGAAGTCAGGAGCCAAGTGATCCAGGCAGAATCCAAACAGAGCTTCATTCAGTGTGGCCCAACAGTTTCTTCATATTATGTTCAGTTAATTGAATTTGCTGATGACATGTCTCTGTGATGCTGGGTACTTCAGAAAGATGCTGATTTAGACCATCCACCCAGTACCTAAGCTGATGTTGGTTGCATTGCTGACTCCGCCATCACTGTGGATATGAATATGCATGGATCCTTTGCCGGCTGTTAGTTATTCAATGGTTGCACTGTTTTCATGATGTCCCATGAATGCTAAGTTTTTGAAATATTCCATTGGTTGTAAGTTATCACATGTTCCTTTTGCTGTTTAGTTGGTATGCAATCCTGTGAAGGAGCTTCAAAGTGTTGGCATAGTACTTCAAGGCATGCCTCTTGCTCCTGGCATGCTGTCCTACACTTCACATTGACTCAAGGTCTGTGCCCTGACTCAATGGCAATGGCAGATTGAGACATATGCTCGAACATGAAATTCAAGATTGTGGTGGAATACAATTCTGCTGCTCCTGATGACCCACAACACCAACCTTTGCAAGATGCCTTCTAAATCTATCCCATTTAGCACAGTCTTAGTGCAATGCAACACAATGAAAGGTGTCCTCAGTGTGAAGATGGGACTTTGTCTCCACAAGAATTGTGCAGTGATCACATATCGCATACCGTCATGGGTAGATGCATCTGCACCAAGTGTATAGGTGAAGATCAAATTATTCCCTCCTTTGTGTTGGTTTTCTTATCACCTGCTAGTGGCCTAATCTGGCAGATATATCCTTCAAGACTCAGCCAGCTTGGTCAGTTGTGGTGCTACTAAACTACTCATGATAATGCACATTGAATTCTCTCACCCAGGGTACATTCTCTACTCCTGCTACCCTCAGAGATTTTACCAAATGGTGGTCAATGTAGAGGAATATTGACTCATAAGTCGAAGAAAGGTGGTAGGTAGTACTCAGCAGGAGGCTTCCTTGCCCTTGGATTTCAAGGGAACCCAACTGAACGTTGATGACTCCCAGAGTCACCATTGTGCTATTACATCTGTTGAGTACGTCCTGCCAGCATTACAAGACATACACAGAAAGTTGTGATTGAAGTGCTATGGACTTAGGCTGAAAGGTGTGATTTAGTAATCAGTATTATGTCAGGCCATTGCTGGACAAGCCTGTGGGACAGCTGGTCCAATTTTGAGTATGTCCTTTGCAGAGTCAACTAGCTGGACTTGCTTCTGTCAATGCTGGGTGGTCCAGATTTGTTTTCTTTGGCTTTTACTAGGGTTTGATGTAATGGAATGGGTTGCTAGGGGATAATTAAGAGTCAACTACAGTGTTGTGTTTTTGGAGTCACGTGTAGGCCAGACTGCATAAAGATAGCAGATTTTCTTTACTTAAATGACATTAGTGAACCAGACAGGTTTTTACAACAATTCACTAGATTAATAGACTCCATTATTGAGACTAGTTTCTTTATCCAGACATGTTTAATGAATTGAAGTTAAAATTTTCCAGCTACCATGGTGGGATTTGAACTCATGTTTCCAGGCCTCTCAATTTCTAGACTAATAACATATTCAACATGCAACCACGCCTGTGATTTAGAGGGACGGTGGTGTAAAAGAAGCAGGAATAGTTAATTTGGCCTCTTGATCCTGCCCCACTATTCAGTCAGATCATAGTTAATTTGTGTTTAATTTATCTGCAGTAGCTCCCTATTCAGATAACCTTAACTAACAAAAAATCTATTAATCCTACTTTAGAAAGTTTCAATTTTGCCAGCATCCACAGATTTTTGAGAATTCCAGATTTGTGCTACTATTTGGGGTAAAATTGTTACCTAATGTTCTCCTCAAATGTGAAGAATACACCCTTCACATTTGATTTCTCCAATCAGCACATATAGTTTTTCTACATCTACCCTATTTAATCTTTTTAACATGCCAAGCACTTCAGTCAGACCACCACTCAATCTACATTCATAGGAATCCAAGAGAATTTTATAAAATCTGTCCTCATAAATTGACTCTCTAAGTTATCATGTCATTTAGATTTATTGTCACGTATATAAAATACAGTGAAAAGTGTTTCTTCACATGCATGCAAACAGTTGTCAAGCTCTGGTGGCCATCTTGAAACACTGAATATAATGCAAAATTTTAGTGCACTAGAGTTCATCTTTTCCTCTTTTTCTTGTTACACTCCACTACTCCTACATTTGCTGCTTGACATCAGCTGGGGTCTCTAATGGGCTTCGGGGTCTCTGTTTTCGGGCCACCTCCTCTCTCACCATCACTCCCACAACCACTGTGTTCTAGCTGGAGCCATGGGCCTGGTCTCATGCCTCCTGTTCCCCATTTAATGCTCCTCCAGGTGCTGCCACCAGTCATTGGTCACTGGGATCCTGGCCCCAGGCTCCTGCTGAAGCCTCTACTGTAGAGCCAGAGCCAGTCATGGATCTGGGGCTGTGTGGGTCCTGGCTCCAAATAACTCCCACAGAAAACAAATGTGGAAAGACAATGAAGCTGCCACAGTACTGAATGATGAATGTGTGCAAGATGATGTGGGTGTGGTCGCCTCTGCTGCATGGTGTCCATGAACAGATGAGTTCCGGGTTCAGAGGCTGAACGCTGCTGACCTCACGACTGCCATCTTGGAAATGGAGACTGGTGGATTCACAGAAAAAAAATAGATCCAACAACTTCCTAATTGTATTGTAGTTCATTAGATTAGGGTAATTAGTACTACATATACATTTGCTTCATGGCAATTCCTGAGATAGGAATGAGACTTTGTGAAAAGGAGTATGTCTACATCATTGGAATCAACATTTCTTTTAGTACCTGCTAAGCCAAAGCCTACTTCTTTCTGTCCCAGCCTAACAAGCAAAAATTCCTCTTCTTTCTTGTTCCTTGTGAAATATAAACTAACGGAAGTATAGATTTAAATTTATTTGAAATAAATATTAGATAAGAATTTTATATCTATCACTACACCACAAAATATCCACTGGATTCTGAATGTAATTCCTATTTGTCGAAAACATTTTAGTTCTGTCCTTTCTTCTTCTCCCTACAAGCCGATTTTGTGAAGTTGAAAATCTGTTTGGTGCAGGAATGATATGCAATCTACCAGAAAAAGTACATACTGTACAAATATTTCAGCATGTCTGCCTCTTTTATGTCTCAGGTTTTGTTTTGAAAAGATTAAATTTCAGATGAAGAATCTACAGAAATTGTGAATGTTTAATGCTTTATCCAGCTTCATAACTCAAAGGCTAGGAAACTTTATGTGAAGGCTGAAATTCAAATCCTGGTACTGAAATCTATTCATGTATTTCTGCACTGTCCATATTAAATATATCAGTTCTTGGCTGGGGTGTTAGATGGGAGATTTCATGTTGATGTTCTGCTGTTAAAGAGCGAAAGGGAAAATTGATAAAAAGATGTCTCTAGGGTTCTGAAAAGGACACGTTCTTGCCATCAAAGATCTTGAATGAGTCCAGAACCCAAAATTCAAATTTCTAATAGAAGGAAACTTGGAAGGGAGGTGAGACCAAAAGTGGAGTAATAGAAGAATTTAAGTAAAAAGTCATTTGTCCTACTCAATAAAGTAGTATCCAGGGCAGGAATTTTCTTGCATGAAACACTCCTCAGATGATCAAACAATCAATGTAGATTCTACAGATCAACAGGATTCCAGTATGAAATGCTAAAATATTTAACATGACTGCTGTTAAAACCAGCATTAAATTAAGTTACCTTTTGGAGACACAAGTAGATTAGAGGTGAGCAATGAAGAAATAACTTCCAATAAAGCAACAGAAACAGGCACAACAGGAATACAAGCTTAACTATGTGTTACTAATTTCTGACAGGTTTGAGCATCAATTTATTTTCCTAGGCTGCTTGCAAACCACTCCAGCAGAATTGCACAAAAATCAAGAAAGTCATTTACCAATTCAGAAAGAAACTACTTTCAGGTTGCTCTCCACAAACAAAGGTAAGACTAAACCACAATATTAAAAACAAAGGAATCTGCACTTTCTATGCTTTTTAAAACTGAGGATAGCATACAATAAATGGCCAAGAAATGCACTAAGAACACTGCTTCAACATGTATGGTTCGATCTCAAGACAAACATTCAACATTGTGCAATATCACCTTCCATGAGTTGAAAAGACCTCAGCTTGACCCACGGCACAGTGCTGCTTAAAGATGTAGATTTCAATAGAAATTCATGCAGAAAATCATTTGAAGTGATTCTATAAACATATGCAGGTTAGACTGCAAAGATGTACACTAATGCCTTCTCCGATTTCAGATCCCCAAATCCTTCAAGTACAATGAGTACTTTGGCATCAAATGAGAAGAAGGAAAATATAAGAAGAAATACTTACCAATTGTAATGCTGAGTATAAAAAGAAAAATGCTTGGTACTGGTCTTGATTTGCCAGCACCGAAGGCCATTGTATAATCAGAGCAGAAATTTCAATGAAAATTTTTGTCCTGGCTGCAGATGTTCACACTATAGTACTGGTTATTTTTACTAAGTTATCTTGATCAAGAAACTTCAATCCTGTCCATTGTAGCTTCAGCTCCTATTGGTGAGTTGCAATGAACATAGTTGAATGTTAATGTATGATTTCCTTTGTCATTAATTTTAGCTGAAACAGGAAGAACTCAGTCCCCAGACACCATTCAAACAACAGAATGTTTTATAGATACATATATTTTAAAACAGTTACATCTTGATGACATTTTGAAAATAATGTGCAATATTTTTGGAACCAGGATTGAAATTGTATAAAATGCAGTTTTTTAAATGTTCCATTTCATGCTATGTGGAGTAAATTGTAAAAAATGTCACATATCTTTTACAAATGTGTTTACCTCTACATTGAAATATAAATGTGATTTTTTTTTGAGAACATACGATTTTATCAATTCTACAGTCAACATCAAAGAGTCACGATGACCTTTTGTAGATTGAGAGATCCTGAATTAAGGCACCGGAAAATGCATCTGAGAAAACCTTATAGAGGTGTATAAATATTAAATAGAACAGAAAAGGTCAAAATCAGAAATGACAAACAGATACAACTTCAAACTGGCAAAAACAACACATTTTAAACTGTTTTAAATTTTAAACAGAATTTCCTCACACATACAGTGCCCAACTCATGAAATTCGTTCCCTTCTAGGTAAAGAGGCTTTTTAAACATTTGTTCATGGGAAGTGGGTGTTGCTAGCTTGGCCAGTATATATTGCTGACCCCTAAAAACCCAGAAGGCAGTTAAGAATCAACCATTTAACATTGATCTGGAGTCACAAACAGGCCTAACTTGTTTGAATGGCAGAATTTCTTCCTTGAAGGGCATTAGTGAACACGATGAGGTTTTACCATGGTGGTTACGTTTTTTTTTATAGTTGCATTTCGTTGTATTTATCCCAGATTTTTTTGTTGAATTCAAATTTCACCATCTGCCAAGATGACATTCGAATCAAAGTCCTCAGAATATTAGCCTGAAACTCTAGATTACTGATGTAGTGACATTACGAATGAATGAATGCATAAAATTGCATTTATATAGTATCTGGCAAGACTTTACGACATCCCAAAGTGCTTTACAGCCACATGAGTAAAAATAAGGTTTAACCTGAGAGTCACCAGGTTCAAACAAGGAGAGAGGTTGAGAAGGAGAGTCCTTCATGGGAGTCTTAGCCGGTTCAGGAATTGAACCCACACTGTTGGCATCACTCTGCATTGCCAACCGGCCATCCAGCCATCTAACCAAATGAGTACTATCCAAATGTAGTCACTATTGTGACAAAGCATACAATGAGCACAGAGCTAGATCTGACACAGCAACCATTTGCTATATCTTTTTAGTGTATCAGTTGAGGGATACATGTTGACCAAGACACTATGAGAAATCACCCGCTTTCCTCTAAATCATGAGAATTCTGCAACCAAAGTTGAATTGAAAGAGAGAGGTGCAATAAGGGAACAGACTGGAAGAAATGCACAGGCATGAAGGCATTGCAGAGTTAAGGAGTGATGATATCATGGAAGGACCTTTTTTGTCATGAGGTCAGCAGCAAAGTGGCCCTGGTGGAGCCCAAACTAATCATCAGTGAGCAAATTATTGCTTGGCAAGTGCTGATTGATAACACTGATGATAACACTTTCCACCATTTTCTGATGATTGAGTGTAGATTCATGGGGCAGTAATTAGTCGAGTTGGATTTTGCTTTTCTTGTCAGGACCTACTTGGGCAGATTTTCACATTGCTGGGTAGATGCCAGTGTTATAGCTGTACAGGAACAGCTTGACTCGGTGTGTGGCATGTTCTGGAGCACATTTTCAGTGCTTATGGCCTGAAACATGTCAGTACGCATTGACTTTTCAGTATCCAGTGCTTTCAATCATTTCCTGATACATATGGAGTAAATTGAATTGGCTAATGTCTGGCATCTCTATTGCTAGGTATAGTAAGAGTGACAATGTCAGCTAGGTGGACCTCGTAGTATATGACTTCCCTGATTGGGGCTGTTAACCTGGTCCAGTCAGGGAGCTCTGGCTGACAGACAGGAGTAGCAGAGGTTCTGCTCACTCTTAGAGCTGGCCCTGAAGAAACCAGACCAGTGTCAAGTGCTATGCACATGCAAATAAAGGACAACTTTGCAACGACATGCTGGCATTTGTGGAGTTATTTTAGTGGCAATGAGAGAAAAAAATACAGGCCTGAAGAAATTTGCTTGCAACAGCCGTCTTTGAATTGGGGTAAGCACTTCTGGCATCATGCTGCTTTTTGAAAACTTGACATTTTCGATCCTGCCATCGATGACTGGGGCCAGAATATGGAAAGAGTGCGTTATTTTTTCGGGGCAAATGACATTGGGGCAGATGAAAAGCAACAAGTACTTCTCCTTACAACTTGTGGACCTACAGCTTTTGTTTTGGTTTTTACAGCCCAACTTACTTTGAGGCACCAAATACTAAAAACTTTCAAGGGGTGATGGATTTGGTTAAGGAATATTATGACTCCAAGCTTCGTCTAATTCTGAGATGCTATTGATTTGACTCAGCAGTTTGAGAACCAGGGAACCTGTATTGGGATTTTTGATGAGGTTAAAAAGACTAGCAGAGGTATGTGACTTTGGTTTAACCCTTATTGAGATGTTGAGAGTCTGTTTAGTATGTGGGATTAATGATGTAACCATGCAAAAGTGCCTATTAGCTGAAGCTCAACTGGATTTCAAACAGGCACTACAAGTGATTCTGTCATTGGAAAATGCAGCAAGTGGAGCAGATGAATCACAGGGTATTCCGATGGAAGTGGACAACCTCGTCGGGCTGAACGAGCTTCGGAGTACCACTTCAGTGAAGGCAATTGCATAGCCTCACGCAGGACATATCTGAACAGAGGGACTCTAGTTGACCCTAAAGCAAATCCCCAAAACAAAGCCAAGCTTTGGCCAAATGGTTAAAATTTTCTTCCGGGTCCAGGCTGGCAAGCCATTGTGTTTGCTATCAGTTTGCAGACTCGAGGGAACAAGAGTCCCAGTAGACCTGAATTGAGTAGAAGAATCCATAGGTTGGTATCCAGGAATGTGCACATCCTGGAAAGCCTACCTACATCTGGCTTGGAACAGTTAAATTGCTTGGTGACATCCAAATCGGAGCCAATCAAAACAAATGTCTGATTAAATGGTCAGTCAGTTCTAATGATAATGATTAATGACAGGTTGACACTAGCATGGCTGTATCAGTGATTATAGAAGCTGTTTTTAACAAAATATTCTCTGAACTCCAACCCTTAAGATTCAGGAAGACCTCGGCTAGACTGAGAACCTATACTGGGGAACCTTTGCAGATTAAGGGTACAACTTCGGTTCCAGTCTCGTACGAGAAGCAGCTGGTTCAGTTATTACTGACAGTAGTAAAAAGGTTCAGGCACAAGGCTGATGGGGTGAAATTGGTTGAGAAAGATTCACCTTCGTTGGCTCAACATTTTTCGATTTGAAAGTGGCTGCCTGAATGAAGTCCTGATTAAATATCCGGAAGATATTCAGGAGTCAAGGCCACCTTGCAGGTTGACCAGGAAGCAATTCCACGATTCTGCAAGGCCCACCCAAAGTCATTTGCCTTCCAGCAAAAGTAGAGGCAGAAATCAAGAGGCTGGAAAGCGGAGGAATCATCAAACCAATACAGTTTGTGGAATAGGCAGCACCAGTCAGTTGTGAAGCCCAACGGGTTGGTTTGCCTTTCTGGGGAATTTAAACAAATGGTAAACCGTTTCTTGAAGCTGGATATATACCCAATCCCTCACACAATGACGTATATGCAAAACTAGCAAGTGTGCTGTTCTTCATGAAGCTGGACATGAGCCATGAGTAGTTGTAATTGCAGTTAGCTGAGGATTCTCAGAAGTGTGCTACAGTTAATACCCATAAGGGTTTGTACCAATACACGAGACTGTCATTTGGGGTATCGTCAGCCTGTGCCATTTTTCAGCAGATGATGGAGTACATTCTATAAGGTCTGCCCTTGGTTGTCATTTATCTGGATGATGTGCTAATAACAGGGAAGACCAATAAAGAGCACATAGAGAACTTGGACATAGTCTTTAGACATTTCTCCAAGGCATGTATTGGCCTTAGAAGGGAAAAATGTGTGTTCCAAGCACCCCAAATGACCTACTTGGGTTACAGAGTTGACAAGACTGGGATACACCTGTTGGAAGATGGCGAGGACGATAAAAGGCACCCTGGCTCCCACGTTTGTACCGGACTTTAGGTCTTTCCTTGGCTTAGTGAATTATTACAGAAAATTCAGACGTAACCTGACCTCTATTCTGGTGCCCTGATATCTGCCATTGAGAAAGGGTCAGTTTTGGAAGTGATCTCGTAGCCAAGACATTGTCTTTAGGGGAGTGAAGAAGCATCTAACATTGTCTAAGGTGTTGGCACACTGTGATCACAAGCGAGATCTGGTGCTGATATGTGATGCCTCCCCATACTGTATCAGTGTAGTGTTGGCTCACAGATGGCCAAATGGAGAAGAACACCTAATAGCTTATGTTTCCTGGACTTTGGCTAATGTAGAACGCAAATACGCTCAGATAGAGAAGGAAGGTTAGGTGGTCATCTTTGGTGTGAGAACGTTTCACCAGTACCTTTGTAATTTTGTAATAGTGACAGGCCACAAATCCTTGCTAGGGCTACTCAATGAGGACAAGCTAAGTCACCCATAGCTTCAGGTTGAAATCAGCGGTGTGCTCTCATTCTGAGTGGGTACAATTACAGGTTGGAACACTATTCAGGAAGGCAAGTTGCAAATGCAGATGCCTTGAGCCACCTCCCGCTGGCAGATACATCATCGGTGGTGCTGCCACTGTAAGATTCTGGTTCTCATTCTGTCTATTCTGGTTTTGAAGTTTCTGGACACCCTTCTGGTTACCACTGACAATATTAGCCTGTGGACACAAAACTAGAACAGCTGGTGGTGACTGGGGAAA